TTGTATCATGATCTTACTCAAAATTGCAAGTTAAATCTTGCTTAGGTATTCCAATAAAATTAGACTCTATCTGCTATGAAGGCAGGACAAACTTGATTAATACAGTCTAAACTCTCAGAACAAACATGATAAATACAGCCTGCCTAAATACCAATAAACAAGTCTCAGTGCAAACAGAATATGGAGCAATTAGTCTGACACATTAATTTGTCCCAATGTTTTCATATCCATAAATCCAGAAAATTCCAGGAAGCTAAATGCTTTTGGAGGACACTAAGCATTTCTCGCTGATTTAATAATTTTATGACAACAGATTCAATCATACTCTGGGATTGCGAAGTGTGACAGTGGTCTCCCTAATCAGTAATGAAGGGACAGCTCATTTTTAGCGGTGCCTTCTGTTAAACTAACATAGATGAGCTATCATTACATCGATTGTGCTCAGTGTCGAGACAAAAATTAAACAATATTCCCTAACAGTGCAAATCAAATACATGTCAATAAGAAAAAAATATTTTGGGGAGTGACATCATCAAAAATGAAAAAGCATGTTTATAGCATACATTACATATACATAAAGTATAGTGGTATTACATAACCTATGACCTTTTTTGAAGAAAAAAAAAATGTAACATGATTACTGACACTTTGGTAGCCTGAAATACAAATAACTTCTGTTTTAAAACATATCATGATTAAAACTTAATAGCATTAAGAATCACACTTGCTGTGGCCTTCAACTTGACATTTAGATTTATCGACGACGTATTGTCAATTAACAATGGTTATTTCCATTCTTATGTCGACACGATATATCTCAGTGATCTTGAGATAAAAGACACCACAGAGTCTAACACATCTGTATTATATTTGGATATTTTATTAGAAAAAGACGTTAATGGTAATCTAACAACAAAGCTTTATGATAAACATGATGACTTTAACTTTTCAATCGTCAACTTCCTTTATTTATGCAGCAATATACCCTTATCACCTGCATACGGGGTTTATATCTCTCAGTTGATTCGATACGCAAGAGCATGCTCGACATATAAACAATTTCTAAAAGAAGGTAAATTATTGACAAACAAGTTGATGAAACAAGAATATCAGCAGTCTCGTTTAAAGTCATCATTTCGTAAGTTCTACGCAGTATAGTTAAGGTGCCAAATGGAAATATCGGCGAATTTTTTAGATAGAAAATACATTCTTAACAAGGATGCGCGATTCTTTTTAAGATTTTGCCATTATCGGACAAATGTAATGTGGTTAAAAATTACATGTTGAGGACGATTAGATTTCTTATTTAGACTTGCCACGCAATGCGGCAATCACGTGATTTTAGCAAATATACCTGCAGTATTGAGGTCATCTATAAATTTCAATATTGTAAGGGCATAACTAAGTTAAAAATATAAGTTTAATTTATGATTATTTTCAAGACTCTTTGTAGTTTGTGAAAAGTGTTGCGAACCTATATAGATTCTACTACCTAATAGCTAAATTACATTTGTTACATCGTATGTTGAATATTTTGCTGGTTAAACATTAAATATAGATATAATTAATTCATTTGCAAGATTTCATCTGGTTCGCAGCACTTTTCAAATATCTTCATACCTCTTGAATTTATGTGTAAAAGCTTGTCATAATTCATTGAGGGTATGCCGTTGCAATATATCGATTTATTAAGACCCTTCTATTACTCTGCAATGAATCTGCAGTATCGCTTATCTAGGGAATGTACGGGAAGTATATGAATAAAATCATAAAACAGACATGTTAAGGGCCTCTTATATATCTGCAAATAATATTTTATTTGATTACGAAATACATTTTTCACTGTATAAAATATAACTTGATCTGCCTAGCTCTCACTGCATACAAACTGCGTCAAATTTTACGATATGACGTCACATTGACAAGTGCATTGCGATCAGTTAATTATTTATCTTTTGCTGTGTGGGATTTAACCAACGACAAAAATGCATGCAATAGTAAGTATTGGTGTAGTTTAAAGCTATCCAATAGTTTAAAAGAGCAAATCATTTCATTTTGTAGTAATTTCAGAAACATATATTTTTGTGTGATGTCATAGTAAGCATTTCCCGTATAAATTAGGCCCCACCTCCTTATTGTAGTCTTAACTGTGCTGCGTATGGTCGATACAATGACCTTGTCAGCAAATACAATCTTTCATTAATTCAAATGCTGACTGACTTTTTATACTGATGGTTAGGTCATTATTTACACACTGATTTGTCTACGGAATTTCCGTTATTTCCCGATCATGACAAGGAGCACACGGCGGATGTGACCGGTCGGCAGGGGATGCTCACTCCTCCATGGCACCTGATCCCACCTCTGAAGATTTAGAGGTCCGTGTTTGCTGTGCTCCTATTTTGTAATGTTTAATGGACTTTTGAGCTCGAATGCTGTTCGTTATCTCCATATATTTCATGAATTTCTCTCCTCGTTAAACTTCAGATACAAATTTTAAGATAAATAGGGTTTGAAAAAAAGAATTCCAGTTAAATTGAAATATTCCTCTTTTAAGGCATAAAACAGTTATTGTTTCTAGACGTCGTTGAATAAAGTTATTCAATTCCAAGAAATATTATAAGGAGATTTTTAGTCCTCCATAAATGCCCCATAAGATTGGAAAACATATTTTATTTTAGGAATGACTCTAATTCTTGGCCAAATTATTCGAGTATAACCTGGTTTGGGTCAGTTTACGCTTTATAATCCGCGAAGCGGATTATAAAACAGCGTAAACTGACCCAAGCCAGGTTATACTCGAATAATTTGGCCAAGAATTAGAGTCATTCCTTATAATTTAATTTTAAAATCATTAAATAACTATGGGTGTAAAATTTCGTTGGTTTTTATTAGTTCAAATTTGCTGCTCAATAATACAACCGTAGTAACGGAAGTAACGGAAGTGATGGGAAGTGAGGGGAGGTAAAAACTGATACATAGGCCTAGCAGCTTGTTTACATGTGGTAAGATCGAATTATTGTTTGAAGTTAAAGGTATACTTATTAAATCTGGAATTTTCCATGAATGACGAGGACTGGAAATGAGAGGATTGTATGCATACAGATGATTCAGCTGGTTGTCAGGGGGGGGGGGGGGTCCCATACCAAACCAGGTTATAAAGAAAAAATTTGTGTTCCTTTTTGGATATTAACCAATCAGAGGCTAGAATACAAACAAAATTAAATTATAAATGATTATTTTTTCCTTTATTTGTAATACCAGTGATATAAAAAGGATCACTAGTTTCGCAGCTAAGGAAATTAATCAGAAATTTACCTCTGGCAGCAATGGTGGAAAATAATTGACGATAAATTACGTAAATAGTTTAGAAGAGCTCATCAATCCCTCTTTTTCACAGACCAATCTAGAAAATAATGACGAGTTATTTTCATCACAAAAAATACATGGAAACATGAGTGACTGTATCGCTGTCTATGTGGAAATTTTAAATTGTTCATAAGAATTAAGATGAAAAGAGACATCTTAATCTATGAAAGTTATATAAGATATATTGAAGTCTTAGCTTACCAAAAGGAAGAATGGGTGGCTTTTGTACATATATGTTAATAATGCAATATAAAAAAAGCAGCACTGCAAAGTAATTTTCTCTTTAAACACGTTACAAGGTTCCAATATTTATTATGTTACATTATAAAATCAGGAAAAAATGACGTCAGAGTGGTAAACTTTTAAAGGACAGGATAAAAATGATAATATAAATGTTAGGTGTAAAACAGGTAGGCAAGTGTTATCCATTAAATATCACAGATCACCATATGCATTCGTTTATCTGGAATTGAAAAGGCGAGCCGAACAGTGATTGATCTCAAAAATTACATACAAACAATACTAATCTGTGAAGGGCACACACATTAAATATGTAATATGAAATAAGGTGCACGGTTTTTGCCTCTCTCTGTCAATAGAGCTAGTGCTTGCATTGAATGTACCTAATATTCTATTATATCGTGAAATATGTGGAGATAACGAACGGTATTCGAGCTCAAAAGTCCATTAAACATTACAAAATAGGAACAGAGCAAACACGGACCTCTAAGACATCAGAGGTGGGATCAGGTATTATTTTGTTTAATAACATATGACGGCATAATGAAATATAACGTCAATTCAATGAAGACATAAGCTATCATGACAGGGCGAGATCATACAGAAACTATACACCGTATCTAATATTGCATGTGAAATGTCGGAACTTTATTACAATATTCGTATTTCTGAATAGTTATCTTATTCTGAGATAAGAATGAAAATTTATTTAAAGTTTCTGAACAGGAATGATTGATAAGGACTATCATTGGATAAACAGTGGGAAAATCTATCAAAGGAGGGTTTTCTCTGACTGAAATTACTTAGAATGGCAGTTTTATATAAATATGAACTGTGACGCAGAGTGGAAAATACCATCATATATAGATGCAATTGAGATGAATTTCTGAAATAACTTGCATTGAATGAAAAAGTGGAGTCAACAGTGATATATCTCATAAATCCTGTAAAAAATAAGAGTAGTGAACAGGGATGAAGAAAACACTATGAATGGGTTCAGGTACCCAAAAGGTGTAAGCATCGACTGATCCCTCTTTATTAATCAGTTAAACGGAGTGAGTGATATTCTTGCTTGTGCAGAACACTTTACAGGTATATTAAGATAGGATGATTCATGTTTTTTTAAGTAAAAAGTGTTCAACATACTTGTAGAAATCATTTCGCAATTCGGATGTAGTTACGTAAATGGCTTGTAAAATCAAGATCTAGATCGTAATCATGTACTGACATGTTTGAAAAGGATTTATAAGATTCCATATTAGCCTTGGAATTCACATGTAACTGTGCCCTTAAATATAAACGTAAGCATAAAAAAAATATTTTTGAAGATCATGTGCGATGTATGGAAGGCCTTCAAAAAGCAAATGGAATAGAGTAAATCAAATAAAATAGACATTAAAAGCACTTTATTCCAAATAAATTCTTATAATAATTGTTCCTTTGAATGGTCTTGACTAGACACAGGGGCTTCTGGGAACTTGTCATCGAAAAGAAGTGCTCGGTGATGACCTTTGACCTATTTTCTTATCTGGATGATCCATGACTCCATTAAGTAGTTCTGTTTTCTCTGTAGCATCTGTTTGACCTTTAAACATAAATAAATATCTCGAAATATATGCGGGACTACAACTCGAAACTAAAATTGCATTTATCAACAAAATGCCTGACTTATTTGTCTACATATATGCCTGACTTATTTGTCTACATATATTTTTGAATTCCATCCTATGAATCTTAAAGCACTCATTTCGATTTTTTTTCCATCTTAAAATTCCAATTCATTGTAAACGTTCAATTTGTTGAGGACTTCTGATCTAATATCAAATTTCTTTGCTGACGATTTTACGTACTACCGTTTTGAAATTGAAACTAGTAACATTAACTGACTAATAAATTGGTACTTGTTGTAATAAAAATAATTAAACATCCCACTACAATCCTACTTGAAAATGCAACATGAGATAAAATCATATGAACGATGTCCTTTTTCTTTCTGGAGAGAACATCAAAATGTTGTCCGAACACTATTAACTTTTATCCTTATTGGAGCCTTCTCCCTGTGTTGGTTCTCAAATTTGAAGAAGAAAAAACACCACAGAACGCCACATTACGTATGTTTCACAATTTTTAGTCCGACTCATTTGGTATAGGTTAAAAAAATAAGATTAATATGACATAAAGTGGGTAAAACGAACAACTGCGATTAAGATCGTTTATATATATAATGTCATTATGTTAAAACAAACGGCTTCTAAAAATAACGTACTAGAAACGAAAGATGCTTTTTTGTTATTTTCACGGAGATGAGTATCGAGATTACTATAATACTCAAATATGGTTTTCTAGGTGTTTTTTTTTTTTTTTTTTTTTTTTTTTTTTTTAAATATTTTCACTAGTCATCGCGTTATGATTGTGATTGCAAATTATTCAAGTTCTAGAGACATAAAAGCAAACAGGAAAGACTAAAAGATACATAATGTTCTCAGAGAGGAAAAAATCAGAAATTAGAAGGGATTTTAACAAGAAATTCTGAAAAGCATTGTTTTCATAGGTGTAACTATTTGTATTTTACTTTATTTTTAAAATTGAAAAAGATTTAACTTTGAATCTGAAAACAAATAACAGTCATTATTGATTCTTCTGAAATAATTATGTCTATTTTTTCCTAGTTAATCATCCCTATCGGTAAAATATTTAATAAATGTGAAAAAAGCAAGTCTACGCTTTTTTTAGAATATCTGGATTACAACTTTTTAATTCGTAAACGGTGGCATATATATTTTTAGGGCAATATTCTGAAAATTCCAGGAAAAAAGAAACCAATTAAAAAAAACATTTTGTTTAGTATTTCTATTCTTTGTCATTTTTCTCCATGAAAGATTTTTGCTTTTAATGCTTTTGGTTAAAAGAAATTAAAATTTATGGACTCACATGCATTAGATTAAAATATGGTTGAGATTTTCAGCAGAGATACCTGTGTCTGTTTTAATGAACAGTAATAGCAATATGCATTATGAGTTTCTGGTAGCCGTAAATAACAAGGGTGTCTATATATTCCTTCTTGCTTTGAGATATCTTTGCTTTTTATAGAATTGTCGATAATCATTATAAAAGTTATTTCATCCCTCTAGCTGCTATTAAAAAAAAAGCTTTCATATGCTGATAGAAAAGACAAAGCACGATTCTAAGATATGCACAGGTTCCTTGGTCGTATTTTATTACGTTCATACCAGATGATCAAAGGTTGGTTTACAGGCTATAATCAAACAACGAAGTCTAGACTAGGTTTTTAGGTTTTTTATACCAAAATTAAGTTTTTACATGCAACATAACTCATATATTACGCTCTAAACTATACAAGGTAGAGCAAAATTTCCAAGAAGGCCTTGACTTAAATGTCTTATACAGTATCCATAATAATTTTACATATTTCACTTGATATTGTTATATTTTGCTTGAAAAACAAACAAAAAATAAGCAAAATTAAAGGTTAAAGGAAATTGTTGATATCAAACATCAAGCTATATACAATTGCACAAAATTCTTTTCCCTCTAATCTTTAATATTCTGAATAATAAAACCCAATCCCATCCCCTCTATTTTTTCTCTCTCTACCATCCCTCCTCTCCTCTCTCTATCACCCCCCTCTCTCTCTCTAGATCAGTGTTATTTATATTATGTGTATATGTGTAGGCTTCGTACCCTCTGAGGACTCGTCCCCCTCGGAGTGTCCCGGTGTTGGTCCCAGCTTTGTCCCCAGTAGAGATGTTTTACGTTCTATTCCCTCTTCACTGAAGTTATCTTGACCGTGCCGTCCTCTCACCACAGCTGAGATACTTGGCAGCCGTATGTCCATTCGGGATCCTTGGTTCTTTACAAGCTATATGATGAAAAAAAAAGACAATGAAACCCTACTTTCTCTAATTACTTCAACACATTAAAAAATTTACCATATCCACAATCTTAGGTAAAAGAGAACTTGACATTGGGTCTTTGTTTTATTGTAAGCTTCAGTATTTACATCAAAATTAATGATGTGAAACACATCGTATTTATTACCTTGTCATTGAGAGAGTAGAGTTTATTGGTGATGTCTCCACCAAGAACATTAAAACTAACCATGTGAAACACATCGTATCTATTACCTTGTCATTGAGAGAATAGAGTTTGTTGGTGATGTCTCTACCAAGAACATTAAAACTAACCATGTGAAACACATCGTATCTATTACCTTGTCATTGAGAGAATAGAGTTTGTTGGTGATGTCTCTACCAAGAACCGCCCTGAGAAGACTAGCAAGGTAAGGCTCCTTAATCAACAGGTACTCCAGACCACTTCGCTGCCAGAATATGTACCGACATGTCGAAATAGCCACGATTGACACCTGGTATAGCCAAAAAATTCAAAGAAATCTATTAAAGAAATAATAAGGTGGACGATTCGTATACAATAATTCATGTATGATATTTTATTTGTCAACTTTTCAATTGCTTTCGCGTGAGAAAGAGAAAATATACAAATAATCAAATTTCCCAAATTGGATTTTAAAAAAAAAAAGAAAAAGCGAAAAGTGCTTGTCTTGTTTCTTGTTTAAATTTATGCCTCTTTTATTTAACTATATTAAGTTTTCCTACTTATGACAATGAACCATGGCAGCATTAATAAAAAAAGAAGCACTCTTAGCGATGAGACGCATTCGAAATATGTTTCATAACTTTTATGCAGTACAATTCTATATTAATGTATCATTAAAGACCAATCAGGGGCCATTGTCAATGTCGGAGAGATTAGCGAGCCTGGAAGTGGCGCTAATGAAAAATCAATATAAGCGGCTAAGTTGATGATCTCCCCGGTGCTAATGGCATTTTCACAGGATATTGTTAGCGTGATGCTTGTCTCTCCTATAATGTATTGGTTTCGACTGTGTATTTGACACAACACGATTTTTAAATACGATTAACTGAATCTAGCATCCACAGAATTGTTAATGGTCGATAATTTAGAACAAGTAGCTCATTTCATTGTATATGAATAAATGTTTGAATTTGTACTCATTTACATTGGTTATCTATCACAGTTAGTAAATAAAAAATAATGTGTCGTAATAAAACACGAAGATCAAAACCTTTGATGATCAAAATTTACATTATTATTACCCCCCCCCCCCCCGTCAATATGTCGACAAATAAAGCAGATTAAGATAAGATACAATTATAGTGAGATACGAATTTAAGTCCCAATCTTATGGATTTTACTTTCTTTTTATGCCCCGCCAAAAAATGGCTGGGGGCATATAGTGTCACCCCTTTCTGTCATTTTGTCATCATTCACTTTCCATTCTTTATCTCGGCCAAAGTTGCTCACAGTCAACTCAAATTTGACATATGGATACGTCATAGGGATACACAGATCAGGTTTGAATTTGGTTTTGGTCCGAGGATTTTTGACAGACTTATCCATTTTGAACTTTGAAAGAGTAAGAAATTTTCAGTTTCCGCTCTCTTACTTTAGGAGGGATGTGTGTATAAGGTTGGAATTGCATGTGCAGGTATTTTACAAGAAAATACAGGTCAAGTTTGATTTTGTCCTGGTCCGATGATTTTGACACTTTTTTCCCTTGAACTTTAAAATTTTAAAAATAACAATTTCCAATCATTATCTCGACTTCAAAATACGAAATTTATTTGTAACAGTGTTTTTAAAGGTATAAGCATCGATGTATAGAACCACCTTAATAAGGTTAACGCTGTATTGTTTTTGTCTAAGTTATGCCCCTTCAACTTAGAAAGAATCTTAAGTGCAAACAAAGAAGATGGGCGTGTTTGGCGTGTGATCTGCAGGAATAAGACGCACGAAACATTCATAGTTTAAATGTCTACGATTTGGTCGGTTGACCACAGCTGGACATACTTTACAAAGTTACGCACATGGAAAAATTTTACATTTAGTTTGAAATACTTTGCCAAATTTAATATATCAGTCCGCTTATCTTAATAATTACTACATCTAAAACTTAGTAACGCTTCACATGAATAATAAACACATATAGAGTATAGTTAAATGCAATTACAAGTACATACTTGTATACATTAAAGTATCAGTAGGTTGGAAGAATTGCTTTCGCTTTCGGTGAAGCAGAACCAGAATTTATCTATTTGAAAATAAATCAGTTCAAAAATTAAACTGACAAAAGTATTGATTGTTTGTAGTAAAAAAAAAAATATTAACGCTCCATGCGAGGATCGAACCTAAAAATATTTTTTTTTCATTGCACTGGACGGGTAACGCTTACTACTGAGCTATTACTGCTATACACACTTCAATGTTTTTAAAGCGACAATGAAGCACCGCATTTACACATTGGGAATTTTTTGGGAAAAGTTCATTTTTTATCGTCTCTTGGTCTTCTCTCCATTTTTTATAAATGTTTGTTAGTTCCTTTGAATTAAAATGCACACAAATAAAGTTTCAAAATCATGGAGAGATGACCCAGAGATAGCAAATTTTTAGAAAAATGTGTTTAAAAATGTAACATTTTTTACCAAATGACTCATCTAGCCAACTTTGAAGTTCTTTTTTAGCAAATCAAAATACAATATCGGTAAAATATTTCCCTTTCCTATTTCACAGGAACCCGATACATCAAAAGAATGCTAAAACTTCATGTGACAGATCAGTGAAATTTTCACTTTTCAAGTGCGCCCAGATTCCTGCCGAATGCCAATCAAAAGCGCCCTCGTTCTTTGAAACTAAATATGGCATTTCAAATTTTGGCTGCCTGTGGGGGCATTCGTGGCGTTGCAACACATCTAGTCATAATATTATTCGGTACAAAAATAATGTTGGTAGTGGTGGAAAAGTATACACATTCTCCCTTACATTCGACAATACATGCTTATAAAACAACTTGAGATTCGAAAATGTATTATATACTGAAACGCAAAAGAAACGCAACAAGCAGTAATCTACAAATATTTAAATTTATCATCTAATGATTTCCAAAAATGAATAAACTTAAGTAAAACTTGATTTGAAAACATCAGAGATTTGATAAAAATGTTTTGGTGTTTTTTGTTTTTTTTTTTTAACTTAAGAAAGTAACACATGACACCCCCACCCCGGCCATTTAATTACAGCGTGCAAGACTGCAATGCACAACAGTTGCAGCTTGATATCTACGATGCAATATGTTCATCAATCTCGAAATCTAAGCGAAAGAAATATTCTTTGCCATTTTTAAATGCCTGTTTTTCAGACGATGAGGTAGAATTTGCTCTAGCCAAGTGCAGTGTAGTAACCCTTGGACTTCTGGTCCAAGGACTGTCATTCATGCTAATGATACGTAAGAGCCTGTTGAAGAGTGATGTGGGTCATATTTCCATCTGCAACTCTTCATCACCTTTATTTTGAGATTTTCCAGCTAGAGCAATGGAAATGTGAACTTAAGTCATTTTCAGGAAGCCTTAGCATCGCTTGCGGAAAAGAAAGGGGAATTTATTTTTCGGAACATTGCTGCATTTCTTATGATGAACAGATACAAATCCTTAAAACCCATATTATTGCCAAATGTTTTGTTAAGCATGCAATCTTTTATTTCTGTAATGCAGACTCAAACTTAACTTCCGGTAATGGTATCAAAATCATTCAATCGTTAAATCACCGATATTTACAAAGTTGAAGATGTCCTTACTTTTTAGATACAAAATTACATCTTATATGTAATATTTCCTCCTAAAATATGATGTTGCGTTTCTTTTGTGTTTCAGTATATAAGATTATATTGTGCCAAATACCCGGAGATACAGAGGATAATCAATTTTGTAGTTAAATATGAGTGGGAAAAGTTCTTTTCGATATTTTCACGAAGTCAAGACACTGATTACAATATAAAAAAAGGAATCCTGTTTCTCGAGTGAAATAAATTCCATGTCAAACTAAAAATTCTTGCATTTTCTGTTTATTACATTTTCTTTCATATTCCGTTTGCCTCTTTCCGTAGTGTATTGTCGTAGGAAGTGACGTCATGGTTGAGCGGTTGAAAGACGTTGGCAAGATCGAAAATTGTCAACATGGATTTCAACAATTCTGAAAAACTTTGGCAGTCTTTGTCCTCGTCAGGTTTTTTAATACTCTCGCTTTCACAACTGGAAATATTCTTATGCCCTGTTCAAACGGAGAGTTTAATTCGCAGTGTAAATTAATGCCAATTAAACAAATGCGAAACAAAATGCGTTCACAGCTAATGCGAAGTAAACTAATGCAAAATATTTTTTATATATTTCTACAAATAGGCTATTCAGCATCGCTATTATGACGCCATTTGCAAATCACGTCACACTGCAGAGCAGATCCATTTCATAAAATGTTATAGTGTCTATACATATTTTAGGATTAACATAATTTTCCTTTGTTTTTTTCACTCAAATATAGCATAAGTACCTATATCTGACTACCGACATATGGCATGTGACTTAATTCTTTCATTACGGATGCGTCAAAATTTAATCCGAATTAGCTTCGCTTAGCTTCACACGGAGCTAATACGAAGTAATTTAATGCACATTAAATTAATTCGAATTAAACTAATTCGCATTAAATTCCCCGTGTGAACGCGATTAAATTTAATTCGCAGTATCTTACGTTTAATTTGAATTAAACTCTCCGTCTAAACAGGGCATGAGAACACTTTCGTGACTGGAATCTCACTGAGCATCATTCGTCTCGTATTATATCTCACATCTTATATAATATCACATTGATATATAATATCATCACTTTCATTAATTTTGCCTTTAAAATAGACATTCAAGCCTCTACTGTTAAAAAATTTATTATTAGCGAAATCTTTTATTCGCGATTCGTAGGATTGAAATCATTGCCCAACTACTTTTTTCACAACTGAATAAAAATAATAATAGAAGAAAAGAAAGAAGAAAAATAAGAATAAAGATTTAAAAAAAATAAACAATAAGATTTGGAAACGAGAATAAGCCACGAGAATAAGTAACTCGCGGGTATTTCTCGCACGTGAATAATAGTTGATATAGAGTATTTTTATTAGATCTACTGTTAAGCCTCTCGTTCATTATATACATTCTATTTTATTGAAATATATTCCCAGGATTTTAGATACCTTCAGAACAGAAAGTATAGACACTAAAAGCCGTCAACTTCTCCACCATTATATGTTTGTTTTTTACAGTTGGTATCATCAGCAAAAAAAGTCAACGCACCTGATACTTATCGTCTCCGGAAATGGCGGATTCGAATTCTGGAGAATCTATGAATTCTTTAGCCTGAACATGATGAAGTTCCTGATGACAACTATACACCGACATCCTGTCAAAAAAGAAGTCAATTAGAATATCCTGATATACACCGACATTCTGTCAAATAAGAAATCGATTTATCTTAAAGGGGCCTAGACACAGATTTGAAGTTTATGTTTTCTCAAATTTTCCGTTTAATATCATGACTTGTATATTGCTATAACATTTCACACGGAAATATAATAAAAAAAAAACTTATTTTATCTGGAAATTATTAAAACTATGAATTTCGAGACGCTTTTGATTGACACATCCTTTCATTTCACAAAGTAAACTTTATCTTTAATACTATGGAACAGTAGAACTTTTGTTGTGCATTTATGAAAACTATTTGAACTATTATCCAGACAATTCAGAGTAGAAATGAAACAAAGCAAAACCAACTCATCAGTATTGTCAGTCCGTGCTCAGTGATGTGTGCAGAGTTTAACAAATTGAACACACCCGGTGAACGTAAGCATTAATAATAACAGAACTCGTTCTATTTACAAAAACAGTTTACGTGACATAACAGACCTGGTCTGTATATGTGACTTATCAACTTCCGGTTATAAGGATATTAAGCCTCTCTACTCCTTACCTTCAGGATCTGATGAGACCTCGTCTGTCTTTATTACCACTTAAATTCCAGGTAAGCGGATATCTATATCCTCTCTACTACTTACCTTCAGGCTATGGGAGATCTAGTCTATTTATTTTACGAATTACTTTCCTGCTACATGTATGATGATATCTAGCCACTCTATTTTCCGGCTATGAAGAAACCTAGTCTGTCTATGTAACTAATTACCTTCCACCTATGAACAGAGTTAGCCTGTCTATTTCTTACCCTCCGGCAATGAAGAAACCTAGTCTGTCTATTTAACTAATTACCTTCCAGCTAAGAGGAGAGTTAGCCTGTCTATTCTAGTATTTAACTTCCGGCTCTGGGGATATCTAGCCTCTCTATTAATTACCTTCCACCTATGATGAAACCATCCTCTCTATAATTAACTAATTTCGGCTATGAGGAGACCAAGCCTGTCTATTCTTCTACTTAACTTCCGGCTCTGAGGATATCTGGCATCTCTATTAATCACCTTCCAGCTGTGAGAACAACTCTCTCTATTCAGCTAATTACCTCCCGGCTATGAGGAGACCAAGCCTGTCTATTTTACTAATCCCTTGACTGGCATAAACTTCCCCTTCATGAAGTGTCCCCAGGGTGCAGTAGTCCGGAGAAACAAGCTTCTTATAGAGATGTCTGAAAGGCGAGAAAACAAGTTTCTTATTTAGATGCCTGAATACCGAAGAAAGAAACGTCTTATAAAGGAACCTGAATGGCGGAGAAACAAATCTCTTATAGAGATGTCTGAAAAGCAGAGAAACAAACTTCTTATAGAGATGCACGAATGATGGAGAAGCTAGCCTCTTATAAAGATGTCTGAGGGCGAGTAAAAGCGTTAATTGAGTAAAAGCTATGATAAAGATGCTTGAAGGAGAGTAAAGACCTTTACTCTGTAATATCTTGTTATGCATCTTGTGTGTGATTTAACCAATCCATATTTCAGAGGTTTTTTAAAGACAATTTGAATACTGAGAAATTCTAAGAATATTTTGATTACATACATTGCGAGTTATTAATGAAAATTCACCTCTTAATGTCACAACAGATTGTGCAGTTATATTACATAATATAAACTCCTCAGGTATAAAAACTTTATGTCGTTAATCACATTGCATGGAATCTCACCTTGGGACTCTCAGAGGCTGAAACACTGTGACGTAAACATCTTCTAAATCGTCACAGAATTTCACAGGTCTGATATTGTACAGAATAACTAGTGCCTGAACAGCATTGATCACCATAAAGCTAAAATTCCAGGAAAAATAATCCGGAGCGCACAGTATTACCCATGACCAGATGGACAACAGCAAAAAACCTGAGAAATATATAATCTTATATAAAATGCTTTTTGTTTCAATTCTTATCAAAATTATGAGCATTTTTTGTTTGTTTTTTTAGCTAATATCCGATCTATTGATTATGATTAAGGTGATTTTTAATCAATCAGAGCTATGATCACTTTTTTCTCAACAATGCACATCTGAAATAAGGTTTATGTTGAGGATAACGATTATTGCTGCTGTTCTTATTCCTACCTAGAACAAAGCATGAATGCATAAAAAGCGTTCCATGTTTAGAGGCAGGGCTAGCCAGGGCTCCTAGTAACACACCGTTTGCCATTTGGAACAAGTAATGTTGAGGTACCATCCAGTGACAACTGTCCTCTGATTTAGAGGAGTTTAATACAGTTGACACCAGAGTAACATTACCTATGGCTTTGGAAAAGGTTTCTTCTAGCGACATTGTATGATGAAGTAATGTTGATATCTTTAACCTGTTTAGTAGAAAAGCACCTCAGGTAAACTATGGCTATTTTAGAGGTCATAAGATACGACATAGAAGAAAAATGTTAAATTTTAAATTTTATGACATTCCCTCACGTCGTGTTGTTTTATAAATTAATTTTAAATAGATGAACATCATTAAATTTATATAAACTGCATTTAATTGCCATGCATGTTTGTATACTTGTTTTATAGACACCTAACAATTCAGACATCTTAAATTTGTGAGTTGCACTAACATGTTCTTCACCAGAATCAAAAGATGTATATTAATAAAATATTATACTCACCTGTTGTTTTATTTCACATCTGTTGTCTCAAACATAAAATGGCGAATCTCCGTCCTCCCAATCAATAACAGTATTTGTAAGCAGATCAACATTTCCAAGGGAAACAAATTTTGTTTGATTCTGTGAGCATTTTGTTGCCTTTTCTCGAAAAGAAAGATCACTCTTCAAAGATAATGCTGTATTCCCTGGTCGGCAGTATTATTGTCTACTTCGATGTAATATATAAATTTCGTATCTTAATGGCAGGACCAGGCAATAGTTTCATATTGATTGTTGATTGTTTCTTGTTTTAAGTACTTTGCAAGAATTTTTCACTCATATGAGACGTAACCAAATACCGGTGAAGGGCTTTAAATTTCTACTTGTACTCGGACTCAAAGCCGAAGCTTCTTGAATATGCCAACGCCTGCGGTGACAGGGGCCGCGGTCTTTTTTTGTATGTCTAACCTAATAGACATAAAACTTTCACTTCAATTGTTGTCGAGCGCTTGACGAAGGACGAGATATTACCTATTTGTGGAGGACTTGGATTTGTCGCGCCGTACCGCGAACCAACGACCTTCATACTACGATACAAGCACTATTCTGACTGATATATCATATAATAAACGAATAAAACATGTGGATAATGTTTACAGATTACTATTTACCAATAGAATTGATTTAGTGAAAGTATTCATTGAAATAAAAATTATTCCCTATTAGAGGTTTTACAATTGGTATGGAATATGTCAGGCAAAATACGACCCAATGACACGTTTTATTTGATGACAAAAAAGGATTTTATAACGACCACAGAATCGACGAAAGGCTGACTTCAGACGAAATTATTGATATCCCTGTAACATTGAATGTAAAGTTAACCTGAAGTTTGTCATATGACTTACCATAACCAATGGGTTTAAAACTTTCATCTTCGGCTACTATGCACTAATGCACTAATATAGACTTACCAATTCTTCATGCACAGTATAAAGTAAATGTGATAAATAATTCAATGGATTGGTTTTGATAATTTCAAAATAAAAAATCAGAATCAATAAAAAGCAATCAAATTCTATATGAATTTCTGCTTCACTGTCTAATAAAAAAAAACTTCACTTTTGTCAATTCTATTTTTATGTATTTCAAAGAATAACATAGCTTCTTCGTTTCTAACAAAGGACAGATATGCATATAATACTGTATTTTCTTCTGTCAAGCTACTTCTGCATACTGGATGCTGGTATGTTTATACTTATTATTATTTTTTTTTATTGAAATTTTTTATAATATTTATATAATTATCATAAACTATCCTGACATTCAGTTGAAGGCAGTTTTAAAACAAAACCTTGAAGCACATGCTTAAACATAGTAACTTAATCTCAGTTTGTAAGTTTCATTTGATGTAATTCGTAAAATTGAACTGGTGGCAAGAATCAACATCTTGACATTCACTGACATTCTATGTAATCTTTTCCCTCGCCTATCATGCAAGTAGATTTATTCAAGCCCCTGAAATCACTGATTTTGTTTTCATGTAAGTAAAACAATAGACACATATCTGTCTTTCCGGGATACAGTGACAAATTGATCTGTCATTCAATATTTTGAAATTAAAAAAAATAAAATAAAAATACTTAAAAAATGAAGAAAAAAAAATCTTTCGGCAATACAAAAAGAAGGTGAATCTGATTTTACTACTGAACAAAATATAATTGATGAGGACATTACCGTGAGAAAACCGCGCTATATAAGCATTTTCTTGATTTTGAAAAGTATATATGACGTCACAAAAACTTATTAAAAAATCAACATCAATTGACATCGCGCATCAATGAATTTTATGAACTGATATATTAAAGGTTTTTGTGAGTCCCCTACGAAATTTTTAACAATGCCGTACAATACCATGTGGCATTTATTAATTATAAAAATATAAGTATAATTTTATATAATTCATGTATATGGCAAGTTAATTTTTGTCCTGAACAAGTAAGAAATAACGAAATTAACGTCTTTTATAGGGATTTTATTAGGCTGCAGAAATATTGAACTGATATTATTTTTCGAATGTATGTAGTTAAAAAATCAATTAAAAATAAAACTAGTTGTAAAAGTAAATTTGTAGAAAGTAAATTTTATATCTAATACTTCTATGAACATATTCGGTGGTCCTCAAAATGAAAATATATTTCTTGCGAAATCGCTTTCGAAACTTTCAAGAATTTGTTACAGATTTAGCGATTAAAGCGAAGCGATTTCACAGGTCCCTCAGATTTTGCTATAACCAAGATTATTGTAACGTAATTTAGTTGATGATTGAATTTCATAAAAACAGAATTTGCTCTATATCTGTTGAGGAAATTGATTTGAAATCTATTTGTCAGCAATACATCCCTCTTGAGTCAAATTGAACATTTGCAGTCTCTGACCTATGATTTTTTATTAATCACGTTGTGTTTTATTAATAAATAGGGTAACTTTTTCCTCATTTATCCAGCGAATCTCACTCATACTATTTCCCTTAATAGGGGACAAACAAGACAATATTTGTTAATACGTATATTCACTGACCATTACCTCTTTTATTTCTTAAGAAAAATATTGTCTTTTATCAGTCAGTACACACAGCTTAGCATATCATCTCTAAATATTTTTTGAGCAGTGGCTCTTCCATCAATGAAACGTACAATGACGTACATGAAATATGTAGATAACAAACAGTATTCAATCTCGAAAGTATGATACCAATGAAACGATACAAATTTGGAGCAGAGCAATGACGGACCTCGAAATTTAGAGGTGGGATCAGGTGCCATGGAGGAGTGAGCATGTCTGCCGACCGGACACACCCGCCGTGTGCTACTTGCATGATCGGGAAAAAAACCCGGAATAATCCATAGACGATTCAGTGTATAAGAAATGGCCTAACAATTAGTATGAAAAACATCAGTCAGCATTTGAAGTTATGATAGGTTGTATGTGCTGACATGGTCATTGCATCGACTGTAAAACTTGCGAAATGATGACTTCAAAGGAGGCTGTTGATATCCTTGTTTCATCAACTTGTTTGTCAATAATTTGCCTCGTTTTAGAAATTGTTCAAACGTAGAGCGTGCTCTTGCGTATCGAATCAACTGAGAGACATAAACCCCATATGCAGGTGATAAGGGTATATTGCTACATAAGTAAGGGAAGTTGACCATTGAAAAGTTGAAGTCATCACGTTTTTCATAAAGCTTTGTTGTTGGGTTATCTAAATACGAAACAGATGTGTCAGAATCAGCGGTATCTTTTATTTCAAGATCACTGGGACATATCGAGTCGACATATGAATGAAAGTAATTACTGTTAATTGATTATACGTCGTCGATATAACGAAATGTCGAGTTGAAGGCCACAGCAAGTGTTTTCTTCTTCCCATGTAGAAGTTTTTTTTTAAATAAATTCTGCTGCATGTGAATACAAAAATAGGTCTGCTAATAAGGGGGCGTAATTGGTACCAATGAGAATTCCAACAGATTGTTGGAAGACCTGATCTCCAAAGAAAACATAGATATTGTCAATCAGAAACTCAAGCATCTTTTTAATGTCAACTTCAGAGTACTTGTGTGTACAATCAGAATGCTTTTTAACAGAATAATATTGCAAATGGCCAGTGACAAGGTAAGTATATTCACGAGTTCCATTTTTATTAAAAAAGCTGCTGTCTATGATGTCAAAAAGCTGGACTTTAATTTATCGTCGGGAATGGTTGTATAAAGTTTTGAAACGTTGTACAGTGTACGTTTTGATGTTTTTGATTTTAGTAAAATTTTGTGATTTCAAATTTCAAAGTTCTTTGGAGTTTTTAAGTATCCACAATCAATAATAAAATATTTAATATTTACTTTAACCTATTTTAAATGATTATTTTTATAGATATAAATATAAATAGTAACATACTTTTCTTGATTGTAAGTACGGGAATAAACGTTGCAGAAAAAAAATTATATAAACCGCTGACTCGTTTTTTCGCATTTCAAGAGATCTGAAAGGGAAAAAAAAGTGTCTGCAAGGAAAAATTGGTAATTTTGTGAAAAAAACATTTTTCATTTCAAGGATAAAATACCTAAAAAATAATTAATTCACTTGACTAAACCTCTGACAACTGAAATGCAAAAAAGTTGAAAATACGTTCCATTCCAAAATTTTGAAGTGAATATAAGAAAACGAAAATATTGATTTTAAAATAAGAAATCATTCACAATTTACGATGGGCATTTAAAAAGTTCTGATTTGATAGAATATTAAATGTTAGAGGGAAGTTCATTTTTTTATATATCAGTGAGAACCTGAAATATACACATATTGTTAGGTTATTCTGTACATGTACTTTTTATGATGTTATACTCCTTTAATGACATCAGATTCGTGTGTGTTAAGTATACTTACCTTAAAAGTTTCCTTTAAAAATTTTACAAAGAAACTCTATTCCTATGTTCCCATTAGGTCAAAACATGCGACTACCCAGTCAACTTAACATATGGGACTCTGACGTCATTTACTTAGTCTATAACAAGATATCACCTTCTTGTGTAAAAGTGAAGGATGAATTGATAGAGCTACTGTCTTATTTTTTCAAAACTGTGCCATCTACGTAACCCCATTTCCGGATCTGAACCTGAATTAATTACCTAAAATG